GAATCAGTGGCATGAATTTTGAGGTTCCATTTAAAAAGCCTAGAGTATTTTTGGGTCCATTTGTGGGTCCCCCCATTTCGCAGTTTAGGGCGAGAGGTGTAGGTTTGACAATCCTGCTTTTGACATTACCAAAACTGCTAGTCGTTCATATGCTAATTTGGGTGAAAATATAATACCTGGAACCGCAAACATATCTCAAGCACAAGTTCAACGATCATCGCCCTCCCAGATGTTTGGATGATCATATCCCATACGCAGGGCTCCATAGGTTAGCATAGATTGATGGTTTAGGGTTTAGGGTTTAGGGTTTAGGGGCTAAAGAATTTTAAAGGGGGTTTGGGAGCATACTGAACTATAGCTACATGGCGATGATGAGAGGCATAGCATTGGTACTAATTCAAGATGTCTTTTTCTTGCACATTACCCTAAACCTTAAACTTTAATAACCCCTATAATATAACCGTTATATAAACCCCGTATTACTTGGATGGGCCAGTAGTCCAAAGGCTTTTGCCACAGCCACCGCGGCACCGACTGGGTGGTGCGCTCTTCAAACATCCTGGCAGGCGCAAGCGGGCGTGTCCATCAGGGCATACTTGGGGCACATTATGACGGGTTTACATTCTTCCAAAATTGAGACGGAGCCGCAAAATATTACTGGCCGTTCACAAAGCCTATAGGTCAGCAAGACCCAAGGGAATCTCCTAGAATCATCCCATTATCAGCGCCAATGGAGCACAAGAGTCAGGGTTTGGCAAGCCAGCACAGCGGGATGACTTGCTGTCATGTTCGATATACCATCTCAGGGGTACATATCTATAACAAGGGTTAAAAGCTATTCAAGGATTTGTGGTGTTTATGTTGGGGTCCCCCTCATGTTCTGGCTTTATAGGAGTGTCTCAGAAACCGAACTGAACTGTAAAAGTCTGACCCTCCGCGGTCCGCATGCAAAGAGAATCGGGAAGCCCAAGCCCTAAACCTTAAACGGGTTTAGAGTTTAGGGTTACCCCAGCCGTAGACTCAGGACCGTATAATCGTCGTGTGAAAATTATAGGTTCCTTATTTTACGGGTGTGGTAGTTAAGAAATCCCTTTTCACCTATATTACAAGCCCCCATACAACCTTTCATTTTCCATTTCTTCTCCATTTCATTTTCCATTATTTGGGGTAGTATCACTTAAAGTAATCCCAAACACTAAACCCTCAACCGTGTGGTTTAAAGCCTTAGAGGGTCCAGGACCTATCTAGCTGACGTGCTGAGTTGGCTAAAGCTGGGTTGCGAAAAGCCCAACCTCTCAGAACGTACCACACAGCTTATGTTTTAGGGTTCAGGGTTAAATTCATGCATGGCCCTACGTGCCTTATACCTTGGGAACTATGCTAGATTTATGTTATACTAGAGCCATGCAGTCTCTTCCAGCCCCTTATGACTGTTCGTAGTGCAAGTAATTAATGTTGCCTGCCCCCCTCCCCGCCCCCGCCCCTCGTCCCCGCCCGCCCCCCCCGCCCCTCTCGCCCCTCCCGGCCCACCCCCCGCCCCCCCACCCCCCGCCCCCCCACCCCCCG